TCATAGCTCCCTTGTTCGCAAACATTATATAGCATTATATAAAAACAAATTATTTTAGATATGGTGGTTAATCTAAATTATCAACTCTATGAGATCACTAGGTAAAGGGTCCTCTAGAAGTGCCTGTGTGTGGGGGGGGGGGTTATCTTGACTAGATTAGCTAAGGCGTGAAGACACGCCCACCGTGGGCGGCATCACTCCCTAGGCTGAGCACCAGCACCCATAGCTCTCCTCTTCCTGGCTGTGGCACAGTATGATCAGCCGCTGCAAGCTCCTGCCGCTTCAAACGGTGAGCCAAAGCACGCCCTTCCCTCCTCGGTTGCTTTTCTCCAGGTGTATTCACAACTGGAAAGGTGAGATACTAGTTACCTGTGAGCTAGCCACTTTAAGAAATCATATCTGAAAATTTACAAACTGGTTTTAGCCTAAGCCCAAATAACAATTTGCCAGTATGCACGTAATCACACTCCCCCAAATCAGGTCTGTTTACAATGTGACATCCCACACTGGTGGAACATGCCCTTGGGAGGCAGAGGCATATGGATCTCTGTCAGTTCGAGACCAGCCTGGTCCTCAAGAGCTAGTTCCAGGACAGGCTCCAAAGCTACAGAGAAACCCTGTCTCAGAAAAAAAAAAAAAGAAAGAAAAAGAAAAAAGAAAAGTAAAAATAGCCCCCATGGGAATATTGCAAGTAGTGTTAAAAAAAATAGTTGGCTTTGCCATTTGGAATCCATTTATCAATTACCATAATTTGGTACCGAGGTAAATATAGATATTCCACTCTACTTAACACTAATTTGTCTGTATTCTTTATGAAGCTTAAAGTGGTGTACTCGCAATAAAATTTGTTTGTCATGCCCCCGAGGAGTTAAAATGGTCCTGTGGAAATGTGGGTCACATCTTGAAAGAAATGAAACCAGGCTGTTTGCTAATTACATGTCTAAACTATTTCCTTGGGGCATTAAGCTTTCTTCAAATACGATCACATTGTTAGTTCTAGGTCAAAAGTTTTTCTCATAAATTGTATCGTGTAGTATATACACATGCCGGGCTGGGGAGATGGGTTCAGGGAGGGAGAGCAAAATGTAGACCCGAGTTCAGATCCCCCAGAACCCTCTAATACCTCAGCATTTCTAGAAGTGCCTGTACCACCGAGCATGAGGTGAGGGAGAGCAGAAGACAAATAGGCATGCGGGCCACCAGCCTAGCTAAGCCACCTAGCCAACCTGGTAAGCACCAGGCTCGGTAAGAGACCCGGTCTCAGGCAAACAAAATGGAGCATGATAGAGCAAACCAGCCAGTGTCCTCTGGCTTCTGTATGCATGCAACACCTTTTGTACTCCCGACACACACACGCAACACATGCACACATGCACGCACTCTCACACACATACGTGCACACACACGCACGCACTCTCACACACACACACACACACACACACACACACCCTCCCTGTGCCTCATTCCAATATATATATCCCTCCTCCCCCCCCCCATCTTGTAAGGGAAATAAATCGCACTCAAACTTGACTCCTCTTTGTCTCTAATACCAGCCAGGCAGTCTGCCTGAAACCTCTACAGTTTCTACCTTTCGGTATATCCAGATTTAGCCACTGGCCCCACCTCCTCTGGTTCAGGCCGACAGAGCTCAGGCACGCATCTCTGCTTCCTGCATCCCTTGTGCCCTTTAGAGTCTATTTTGAGTGTATCAGTCAGACAGATGCCTTTAAGACATCAGTCAAGTCATACCACTCTTCTGTTCAGAGCTCTCCAAGGGCTCCTGTATCTTTTAGAGAAACAGCCAGAGTTCTTACAACAGCCGCCAGGGACCCAAACGTCCACGATCCCCATGACCCTTCCAGCTTCTCTGTCTGTCATAGATACTGGCTCTCTCGGCCTCAGTCCCACAGCTGCTGCCACAAGCATCCCTCACGCCAGCCAAGTCTATGTGGCCTAAGGACCTTCGTACCACCCGCTGTTCTGTCTAGGGAACTCCTCCCCCAAGGAGCCACAGGCTTTCACGTCTCCCTCAGACACCTGCCTTAAGTGTGTCTTGTCTGTCCTTCCCCCCCCCCGCCTCCCCCGCCCCTGATAGTCTTCCCCAGAGCCTCTCCTTCTCTTTCCCACCCACCCCCCCCCCAGCTCACCACCTCTCCAGGTGCTGAGCTGGGTTCAGTGTCCGGTGGATCACTTCGCAGATAAGGACAGAGCTGTTGGCTCTGCTCAGTGCTCCATCCTCAAACTGGACTCTCAGGAGCATCTGACGGACACAAGGCAGGCTCTCAGCAACTGGAACCCGTTTCACTGATCTAGGCTAGAAGCTGAAATAACCCGATAATGTCACAACGGTAGCATAGAAATCCCATGCTCCCATGGAGCTGCAGATCCCCCCCCCCATTGGCTGAGGGCACCACCGTAGGGACCCGGGCTCAGACAAGACGCCAGGAGTACACACTCCAGATGCCGTCGTTGTACAACTAGCCAGCTCCACACACTCATTAGTTTTTGTCAACTTGACACAAAGCAGAGCCACCTAAGAAGAAGGAGCCTCAGCAGAGGAACTGCCTCTACCCCATGGGCCTATGGGCGTGTCTGTGTTGCATTTTTTTTTCTTTAAATTGCTAATTGATGTAAGGGTACCCAGAGCACCTAGGGATGAGGGGTGTCATGGATAGGCAGGTGGGCCAGGGCTATGTATGAGAAGTTGCTGGACAAGCCGGAGGAAGCAATCCAGGGCGCACCAAGGGTCTATGCTCCAGCTCCTGCCTCTCGTTCCTGCCTCTTGGCCCTGGCTTGATGTTGTCTTCACTAGGTGATGGGCTGCGAGCTGTATGTAAGCCAGATAAACCTTTTCCTCCACGAGTTGCTTTCGGTCTGTGTTTTTATCACAGCAACAGAGAAGCAAACTACAGTCTCCGTGGAGAACAGCCTAGAACTCTGACAGAAGGGGCCTCGGAATCTAGTACCCAAAAAAAATGGTACTAAGCAAATGACCTAACAGAAGAGGGATGCCAGCTGCTCCCACTGTTAGGATCTCAGGCATTGTACTGGCCTGTCCCGTCCTCTGGCAAAATGCACTCAGGCAGTACGCAGGCCAGCGCAGGGTCCTGTGGCTGCTGAGTCACTACATAGTATGCAGGCAAGTGCGAAGGTTTCTTTGAGAGGCAAACTCCACCCCTCCTCCCTCCCTCTCTCTCTCTCTCTTTCTCTCCCTCTCTCTCTCTCCCTCTCTCCCTCTCTCTCTCTCTCTCTCTCCCTCTCCCTCTCTCTCTCCCTCTCTCCCTCTCTCCCTCCCTCTCCCTCTCTCTCTCCCTCCCTCCCTCTCTTCCTCTCTCTCTCTCCCTCCCTCTCTCTCTCTCTTTTTCTCCCTCTCTCTCTCTCCCTCTCTCCCTCTCTCTCTCTCTCTCTCCCTCTCTCTCTGTTGTCTCCCTGAGATGGCAGACCGATCTTTGTCTCTCCCCTCTCTTTTCTCTGTCTCTTTTTCTTCTCTCCCCCCCCCACCGTCTCCCTTCCCCCCACTCCCTTCCCTTCCCAGTAAAACTTCCTTCCCATGTAAGTTCAGCCTAACGGCATGTTTGGGGTCCCCGCTCCCACCCAAACCTAGACAAGGAAGGGAGCCGGAAGGTACAGGTGGACTCACGGCGCAGCAGAGGTGACGGAGGGGGGGGCGAGGACCCCAATAAACCTAGCCACCCTTTCTTCTCCTGTAAAGGGGTTCCTGACAGAAGTGAGTGGGTGTCGCCTGGGTCTTCCAGAGTTAACCCCCAAGACCAGGGTCCAAGACCTGGGGAGGGGACATTTCACCTGTGTCCAGACTGCCAGATAAGAGTGTCCCCGAATGAAGGCAGAGCTTTCAGGATTTGTCCCCCCCCCCCCCCGCCCGCATCAGGGTTTGGTGTCACTCCAACCTCAGTGGGTGGGGCCAGGAGACTGCACCAAGCTAGAGGGAGGATTTGGTGGTGTAGCCTTCGCCTGACTGTGGGGGAGGGGGAGGACATCTTCAGAAGTCCTCACGCCCACATGAGAGTGACTCCTTGCGCGCACACATGTACACGTGCACACACACAGACACCATGGAGCCCTGTCCCCAGTGTCCGCTCCCTTCCCCCCCCCCAGACCTCTTCCCCACCCATATCCCCTCCCACTCCTGTTGGAGGAGCTTTGGCTGCACCTTGGGGCTGGCTTGAGCTCCCTCCTGGAGGTCTTGAGGCTGCCGAGGGCGGGAATGGGGTTGGAGTTGAAGTTGTAGACACCACGGTGTCAGGGCCGGAGGTAACGGTGCGCGAGCCGCGGCAGCTCTCGGCCTACTGTGTTTTAAGGAAGCTGGTACAAAGGAAACACAGGAGACTGTTCTGTGAAGACCTCTTCTTCAAGCCACTGTCAGCTTGTAGCTGATCAGCAACTGTGAGGCGTATTTCCTAAATGATTATAAAGCTGCACCGAATCTCAAAAAGAAAAATATGGATCACCTTTAAGGATGGATAATGTCCGCCATTCAGTAGAAGACATATTACCTAAAAGTTATATGAAATCCATTCTGTGGGTACGGTGTCACTGAACACTAGATTTATGGGGAAAATCTGTTTTCTAAAGAAAAAATAAAATGAATAATCCACTTTTTTCCCCCTGTGGTTTTCAGGAAAAGTCTCTTGTATCCCAGGCTAGCTTCAAGGTTCCAATCCTCCTGCATCTACCTACCCCCCCCCTAAGTGTTGGGATCACAGGCATTGGGCACCATGCCTGGCTATAAACTAATTCATCTTGGTTTTGAGTGGAAAAGTCTCTTGGCGCTGGGTCACACCTTTACCCCTCCCCCGTATCCTTATCTTCATGCTCCCCCACCCCCCACCGCAGACTCCCACCACCAAGTGTGTGTCCTTTACCGAATCCAGTTGCGAATGCAATCCCAGCGTCCATCAGCTGGGAGCTCAGGCAGGGACAACTGACCTCGACGACCTGGGCCTCTACGCGAAGCTCACCTTGCCTTCCATTTCTCCCAGTACAATAGGTACCAGCAGTATGGTGCGGAGGAGTGTGTACTGCAGATGGGTGGCGTGCTGTGTCCCCGTGCCGGCTGTGGAGCTGGGCTGCTGCCTGAACAGGGCCAGAGGAAAGTCACCTGTGAAGGGGGCAACGGCCTGGGCTGCGGGGTGAGTACTGACCACACCCAGGGACGCCTGGCAGTGTGTTGCTTTGCTCTAGCGGATTTTGCCAAGATCGTTTGCATTTTCCTTTTGGGCTCAGACATATTTGAACTGATGTACAGGAAAAAAAACAAAACAAAACAAAACTTCATTCCCGCGTCAGACTCCAGCTATGAAAATGTTTGTGTTAATTTTGAAAGGAGTCGTGTGAGGATATTCTGGTCTCTGTTTGTTGGGGTGTGTATTCTAAGGTTCGATGAACACCGCCCCACTCCCCACCCCAGTCAGACCTTTACACTTTCCCTTGCCGTGCCCAGCTGATGCGGGGGGGGGGGGGGGAGAAAGTCTCCGCAGATGCATAAAGCAAATGTGAAGGAGGGAGGGAGTTTCCCACCCTGGCTGTTTAGAAATACCGTTTGCCTCGGCATTTCCAGAAATAAGAGGAAGGCTAGTACAGAAAAACTCAAAATGCGACCGTGGTGTAAAAGCGCTTTGGGATGAAGTAAGTGGTGCTGATGATGCCCGTTAGGGAAGCAGAATGAGGAAGAGAAAAATGTCCGGAGAGGTCAAAGCTGAGCAGATCCCACACATGCCCCCGTCCATCAAGGGGTACTCCAGTCCCCAAACACTCACTGAGTTACAGGTTCAAGTGACAAATGGATACAAATGCTGATATTAAATCTCAAACATGCTGAGTAAGACAAAAGATGTGTGTTCTCTTCTGAGATGCTATTGAATTTCGGTGGGAAACGTGTCTGTTGGGATTGCAGATTCATGGGGAGCTTTCCGGAAGAGGGTCAGGTTGGCAGAGCCCTAGCACGCAGGCCTAACTCTTGGTTAAGTCATCTGTTCAGGTGTGTAGAGTATGCCTTTGCACCGTATGAATATGTGCCACTGTGACTGGTTTTAATAAAGAAGGTATCTGGCCAACAGCTGGACAGGTAGGGGTTAGGCGGGACTTGCACACAAAAAGAGAATGCTGGGAAAAAGAAGGGAGGAGCCTGAGGAGTCGCATGGAGACACAGCGGAAAAGAAGAGAAATGAACTTGCCTTGCCGAGAGAAGGTGCTGCCACTTGGCAGAGAGTAAATAAGTAGATGGGTTGATTTAAAATGTAAGAGTTAGCTTGTGGCAAGCCTGGTCCATCAGCCAAGCACTTACAACTAACAACAAGTCTCTGTGTGATTGTTCTGGAGTGACTGGAGAGACAAGTGGGTGTTGACGAAAATCTCCTCGCACCCATCGCTCTAGGTGAAGCCCCTGTGTGTTCTCTGCCGCGGCTCACAAAGCTAGGGCTGTGCAACAGAGGACGGAGAAGTTGAAATAAGAATTAGATGCCGTGGTGGGTGCCCAAAAGGAAAACCGACAAGCAAAAGTTGTGCCCAGGTTAATAATCATAGTTGCGTGAGAATGTGCAAATCCAAGCATGCAGGTCCAGCCACACTCCCCAGCCTTAGCCTCTGTGTAGTCTACACTGATTGCGAATAGCCCTAGCTGGCTGCCACACTCAGAGGTCAGAATCGTGTCAGTCATTTTAGACCGATGTCTACCTTCATATGTCTGCCTGCTGTTGTCATAGTGTTGTTTCTATCTACAGAGTTGAATTTTACTGTTTTTCATGAGGTGGGCAATTTCTTTGGCTTGTTTTTTTGTTGTTGTTGTTTGTTTTTACACTGTCCCTTACTCCTCTGAATGACATAAGAAGTAATTTTTTGAGTATTTTTTTTATTTTACATGTCGATCCCAGTTTTCTCTCCCTCCCTCTTACCCTCTCTCCCCCCTCACATGCACCCTGACCACCCTCCCCTCCCATCCCCCCACCCCAATTCCACATGTAGGGCAATGCCATCCAGGTGGGGTCATGTAAATCTGTCAAGTCATTTGAAGTAGGGACTAGGGCTTCTCTCCTGTCTCTGGGTTAAGGGAGTATCCCTCCATGGGGGATGTGTCTGCAAGGTCTTTTTGTGCACCAGGAATACATTCTGGTTCCACTGTCTGAGGTCCCTTAGACTGCTCAGTCCTTCTGGCTGAGACCCATATTCGGGGGGCCTGAGTCAGTCTCATGCTGGATTCCCAACTATCAGTCTGGGGGCCCCTTAGCTTCTCCTTGTTCAGGTCAGCTGTCTCTATGTGTTTCTGCAGCCTGGTCTCATCCTCTCCCTCTGCATCTGGATTCTAGTTCTACTCAGTGTTTAGTTATGTATGTTTGCTTCTGTTTCCAACAGGTACTAGATGAGGGCTCCATGATGGTGGATAAGTTAGCTGTTGATCTCACTATCCGGGAAGGGCATTTATGGTAGCCTTTCCACGGTTGCTCAAATTGTTAGTTGGCGGCAGCCTTGTAGGTCTCTAGACCTTTCTTTAGGTTCAGTTTTCTCTTCAAGCCAATATTGGCTCCCTCTTTTATGTTCTCTCTCTCTCTCTCTCTCTCTCTCTCTCTCCTGTCTTCTATTCCTACCCTGGGTCAATCTCCCTAGTCGCACGTGCTTTCCTCTCCTCCCCCTCTCTTTCTCCTACTTCTCTCTCCATTCACTGCCCCTCCCCGCTTCCCATGTGCTCTGGGGGACTTGTCCCTTCCCCCTTCTGTGAAAAAGTAATTTCCTATTTTGGAGACATTCGTGATATATTTGGATATTTGGGTTGTGTGTGTGGTTTGTTGTTTTTTTTAGGTTTTTTGTTTTTGTTTTTTATTCAGTGTGATGTCATAAGTAGCCTGTGTATTTAAACTCCAAATCATGAGGAATTACTTTCTTAAAACTTTATTAAATTTACTTATTGGATATATGGACAGAAATCTGAGAACAAATTGTGGGAGTCAATTTTCTCCTTCAACTGTAGGTTCTGGTCTGGGGGGGATGAGGGGGGTTGGGGGGAGCCCATTCAGACTTGGTGGCAAGTGCCTTTACCCACTAAACTATTTATTTCACTGACCCAGGGAATTGCTTTAGAGATCATTTGAATGGTTTCAGCTTCTTTGGATTATGTTACCTCAAAGAAGGTGGCTTTATTCAGGCTTGGGCTTCTCCAACACAGATGGCAGTATCAGCATGTAGTACTCCCTTGTGCAAACACGTGTCTGTGTCTTTGGAAAGTGAGATTCCCTGACCCTCTCTGCTTTCTGTCACCGAGCTCACCAGATGAGCGCCAAGCATTACCCAGCACAGTCTTTCTCTGTGCACGTGACTGTTGTTTTCCATTGGCTTAGCTGCTGTACCTGACTCTAGGCATACTTTAACTACTTTCTGTAGCGCGCCCCCCCCCCCGTGGCCCTGCAGCCAGCACCCCACCCCCACCCCACCCCCAGTACTCATGGTCTGCTGGGGTTTCCAGCTCAACCAGCAAGCATTCTGCCACTGCTGTCAACTGTAGCTTTTAACCGAGTCTCTCGTTCTACCTACCAGTGAAGATGCTGGGGTGAAACCCCGCTAGCTCAGAGAGGCTGAGAAGCAAGCAGCCAGCCTTCCTTTTTGGCCAGACACCCAGCAAGAGGGCATCTCTCCAGTTGTCTCAAACCAAGAAGACCATGAATCTCCAAGTCCCCCCATACTACTTTCTGTGTCTCTCTCTCTCCATCTTCCTGGCTCTTCGGTAATCCCGATGGCTAATTCCAGCCATCTAGTTGCTAGCTCCACTCCCCCTGGCCCACAGTTGATTTTATTAACACAGTCTCAGCTTCCACGGTCTGATCAAATATCCTGAAACATGAGATGGTGGAGGTCCACCTGGCAGTAGCCTGGCAGGTCCGTGAAGGTCCGGCAGATTCACCGCTAGGGTAAGGAATGATTTGAGAGAAGGAGCCTCCTCCTAGGATTCAAGTTGAAGTGTTGCTCCGTTTATTTGGCTCTGTGTTGCTGTCCTGAGACTACGTCCTTCTCCACAGTGAAATCGTGCGTCTGGGGTTCTGTGTGCCTGGGGTAAATGAGTGGGTGGCCCAAGAATGCATGAGCCACAGCTGTCCTCCAGCCATCTACCCCAGTGCGGGCATTGCTCACGTAGCCGCCCAGAGGTGTCTTCAGAATTGCGTGTCCTCACGTCCTTTCATGACACGGTGCTTTAATAGCACTCCTAGGATATAATGCCATGTGTAGAGACAGACAGAAAGTAGATCAGGAATGTCGAAGCATGGCAGAAATCACCTATCAAAGGCTGCCCTCCCAGCTGCACACACACAGCTTGTGCACACCAACATCCGGCATCTCTTATTCTTGGGAGCTCTGAGACTTGAGTCTTCGCTAAGCACAGAATGTTTTTTACATTGCCAGGCCCCAACAAAGTGCATATTTAGGGATCACATAACCTGATCTTTTTCCGCATCTCAGGCTTTGATCATATTTTGACGATGGCTCATGAAAGCGTTAACTGATTTCCTGAGGAATTTCTGAGATCCATTGTTCTTTCCTATGACCTTCTTGCAGTGTTTCAGAACTATCTCACTAACTTTCATGACCCTGATGCAAAATGTTGACCTGTTTAACACTGGACAATAGGGACAAACTGTGAAATCCACTCAGCTCTACTCACCGACCTGGAATGGAGGAACTGTGAAAGTAAAACCCCTGAGTCCCCAATAAGTCAAACGCGATTGTCTTATCTGCTGTTATCTTGGACTGGACTACAGCTGGGAGGTATTTTTTCTTTTTTAATCTTAATAATACTTGACTTTGAAAGGATAACTCGCTGTTTTAAATCAGAAATCCAGGGACAAGACCTGATAACAACTAAGAAGAAATAAAACAAAAGAGTGTTAAAACCGTGTTGTGCTGAAGAAAGGACAGGGACTTTCTTCCGGCACTCAACAGTTCCCCCTTCCTTTAATCAGTGTTCCTGTGTGATGGAGATGCAAGGAACAGTGAGCTTGTGCCTTGGCCGCTCACCTACAGAGGCAGCCACCACCCCCCCCCCCAAAATCCTCTTAACCAAGAGCGGTGTCCTGCACTGCTTCCCTCGGAGCAGGTCTTAACAACGAGTAGCCGAAGTTATAAAACACAGAGTATGCCTCTGCTGCAT